AACCTCTTTTAAAACCGATTTACAGTAAGAAATTTTTAGAAGAAGAGCAAGAGAGCACTGCAGAATACTTGGATGTATTTAAGAAGCGCAGATCAACTTCAAAAACAAAATTGCCATCAGAAATTGAGTTTCGAAAGAGTTCTATTCTTAATAATCAGATCATACGAATTGGGGATATGGATTTTTTGCCTATCTCTATTTTGAGGGAAATAGGAACGAGTCATTTGATTTCACTAATTAAAGAAAAAATAAGAGAAAAATTTTGGTGTGATAAGGAAACTCCATTAATAACGAGACAAAGGCATAGAAATTGCATACAGGGGTCCTTGGAGCACTTACAGCGCTTTAATATCAACAAACCAATTGAATTAATGTCTGAGGATTTAAGACTTGCTGCAGTAGAACTTGGAAAAATCACGGGAATCATTAATGTTGAAGAAATATTGGATACTATATTTAGTACTTTTTGTGTTGGTAAATAATTTTAGTATCAATAACTTAATGACAAGTAATAATTACTTTATTCGTATTTACTTTACGTAGGGGTTCTTGTTCTTTTTTAAAATTAATCTCACAGGCACGCCATTAGTAAAGAAATTCTTTCTAAGATTATTTATTAAATAACGTTTGTAGCTTTCATCGATATTTTTAGGTACATTGCACACTAACGAAAAAGCAGGAGGATTAGTGCCAATTTGAGCGATATATTTCATTTTCACCGCTCTACCTTTTACAATTGGATGAGGGTGTGTATCTAAAGCAGAAATAAGCCATTTATTCAGCTTTGCAGTGCTAATCTTGTTATTTAGAGATTTATTGATTTTAAGACATTGATCTATTACAGCTCTACAGCGCATGTCCTTTAATGCAGAAGTTGTTATGGTTGGTACTTCTAGAAATAGCCGAGTGATTTCTTGTTGTTTTATGAACTTTATTAGCTTACTTCTATTATCTTTATTGATTAAGTCCCACTTATTTAAAACAACAACAATGCCCTTACCTTCTCTAATTGCAATTTCTCCAACAGATAAATCCTGTTGCTCAACACCAAGCAGAGAGTCTAGCATTAAAATCACAACATGAGAACGCTTGATTGATTCGATACTTTTCTCGATAAATTTTAATTCTAAATCATCTGTTTTTTTGCGAATTCCTGCAGTATCGATAAGAGTAATTAGCTCACCATGATGGTTATACAATATATCTATGGAATCACGGGTGGTGCCAGCTTCTGAGCTTGTGATTACTCTATTTTCTGTGAGTAGGTTATTTAAAAAGGTTGATTTTCCAACGTTTGGACGACCGATTATTGCGATTCTTAATTTACTAGATTCATAGTCATTTAAATTATCATCTTTATTTAAGTATCTGATAACATTGTCCAATGCATCATAAAAATCTGCCATGCCTAGATTGTGTTCGGCAGAAATATATACCAGATCAGCAAAATTGAAGAACCGCAAATAATCAATACTTTCTGATCTGTGACTTTCACATTTATTAGCGATAAGTATCACGGGTTTATCCGTTTTTCTCTTTAACCATTTTGCGAATTCTTTGTTTTGATCGTTTTGTATTTTTGCATCAATAAGAAATAAAATTATATCTGACCGAGATAAGGAAAATTCTATTTGCTCAATGACTTGCAGTGAAAAATTATTTTGATCACTCCATCCTCCGGTATCTACTACCTTAAATTCTAAGTCGCTAATTCTGCCTATTCCCTCTCTTCTATCTCTCGTTACTCCTGGAATGTTGCTTACCACAGCTGCTTTTTTTCTTACTAATCTATTAAAAAGAGTTGATTTGCCAGCATTTGGCAGGCCGACTATAGCAATTTCTAGCATGGGATACCTTAAAGATAAAGTATATAAGGTCTTGTGTCGCGATCAATCGACATCTTGATTTTTTTTAATTTTTTATTTATAGTTAATAAATTAGAATGCTTAGAGTATATTGTGCTACCTAAAACATCGGAAAATCATTCCCTTAGAGGGGATAAAGAAATCTTTTTTTATTGTCAAAAATTTAGTGATAATCGGTATTATCATTATAATGCTACGAGCTACAATTTAGTTAAAAATTTACATATTCTTTATGGTAAGAAGAAAATAGCACTAGCTTTTTCCGATGCAATAAAATACACAGATAAGAAAGGATCAGAAAAAATAAATGATATACAATTCAAACTTAAGAAGTTTGAACTTAATGAAAATGGCTATATAGCAATATTTGAGAATGGCAGTCAGATTATGACTATTACAGGTAAAACTGCTTATATAGTTACTCCGGACTTGATGAACTCTGGGGTAGAGAGAGAAAAGGATATAAGAGTTAGGTTAGATAGTGGCATTCTTGGATATGATTATGGTAATCAAGTAGTAAGATTTAATGTTATGGTGGTGCTTGATGCAGCAAATGATATAGATAACTTGTTTGAAACTGGAGGTAGTAAGAATCCAATAGCTTCCGTGATATTAAGTGCTGCAAAAAAACGTATAGCTTATGCTGGACATCCAATAGGTAGTAAACAAAAGGACTACGTACAGTTTGTTCTAAGTGAAAATACTCTTCAAGTAGTATTGAGAAAAAAAAGTGCTTTTATAGGAGCGATTCACAATGCTGTGATAGAAATATTAGGGAAATTCTGTAGAGAAGAAGTAATTGGAAAAAAAATCTGGAAACTTAACTTAACACAAAAAGACACTTTGATAAGTGGAGTAGCTTTAAATAAAGCTCAAGATGTTGCTACAAAGATATCTAGAATTGAAGTATTGGCGGGAGATAATGTTAACCTGTTAGAAGCACAAACCGAAGAGGTAGAAAGTGAGAAAGCAAGGCGTCGGGAGTATTTAAAAAAGAAATTCAAGCATGCTGTTGATGCATTTGGTAAAGCTGGTACAAGGTCCAATTATCCAGGAGTGCCAAAAGAACAGCAATTATCTATTGATTTAGGTAATAAGCCAGCGTTTGGTATAGTAAGTAAAATTTTACATTGGGTAGAGAATAAATTTAAGTATTTTTTTCCACGCTATAATTTATTTCCAGAAGTTGGCAATAAGGATAGAAAAATTCCTAGGACTAACAGTCAAGTGAAGTACTTTAATCAAGAGGAACAGGCTGAACATACTCTGCATATTAAAAAGAAAGATGATGAAATAAAACTGTATAATGTAAAAGGTGAGTTATACGATACAACTGATAAGGTAAGTAAAGGAAGGAAAGGATATGTAGCTTATGTAATTACACTAGATGGAAGGTTAATCACTCATGAACATATAACCGTTGGCAAAAGTAGATATGCTTATCGTCATTCAACACTTGCAGGTGGTAAACCAGTTCTATGTTCTGGTTTGATGATCGTAAAGAATGGTAAAATAGAATATATAGATAACAACAGTGGACATTATAAGCCGAGAAGTGCAAATATATATAATGCAATAATAAGGTTTAAAGCTGCATTCTTGCCAAATGCAAAAGTTGTTCATTTTGGAGGGTGGCTCAGTTTTATCAAAGAAATTCCAATTTTATGTAGAATTGTTCCAGATAAAAAAGAATCAATAGATGATTTCCAGCAGAGAATGGAAAAAAAAGGAAAGAGTGGATTAAATAAAGTTGAAGAATGCTTTAAAAAAATAAGAGAATACAATAAACAGTATGAACAGAAATTGTTTCTTGGAACTTATAAATCACCTACAAGTGAACCTCCTAACAACCCATCTATACATAAAAAACATAAAGTAAAACTTTCATCGCATATTAAGCATTATAAGTTTTTGGAAGAATTTGATGAAAATTCCGAAGTAAGAAGAATGACGATAGAGCATTCAATAAGAAAAATAATAGGGGCTAATTTTGGTCGTAAGCCCAGAATTGAACTTACTAGGAAAAGAGTGGATAAAAACGAGGAAGCGGGAGTAAATATAATTTTTTATCACAAAGATGATCATGAAAAATTTGTCAATCTTTTATATTATAAAGGATGTCATTATACATCATTAGTTATTCAGGAGAAACTTTTTGAAGTTTCTGGCGTGGTAAGAAAGGCAAAAGAGTATATAGTATATATGGATGAAATATCTGCTGATAAATTCAAAAAAAACACCTTAAAAATTGATAGATCTATAGGAACGATATTAAGTGATTTAGAGCTATTGTGTGAAGAAAGTAACAGTAGGACTATTTAATAACTTCTTTTGTTTGTTCAATATAAGTAGATTCTGATATCATTACTCTATATAAGAAGTACAAGTAAAATACTTGAG